TTACTAATTAGAGATGAAGAGTAGCAATGAAGTGGTTCGCTACTGGTGTGAAACGTATATTATTGTTAGAAATATGAAATACTATAAGCTTAGCAACAAAAACTGATTTCCACGACGACTTTAAAAGAAATCAATGATTTAAAGGACCAGGGCTCGCTGATGGGCCACAAACTGCATCTGCTGTTCAACAACATTATTTACCAAACACTGGGGTACAACTGGTTGTTGCGCATTATCACCTGGCGTCGATAACGCATAGAAAGAATGAGGTGAAGCAGTTTTGGCAAGTACTTCTTGGGATAAGCCATAATTGTAATTCTGATTGGATGGTACTGAATACATAATAAACTTTTATATATCATCAGAATGACTTACCTCAGGTACTCTTTTCGGCTATATTAATTACTTATTTAAAATATATTTTTTTAGAAATATGGATTTTTAAAGTAGAAAGATAAATTAGCAGACCTATTGTAAAAACTCATCTTTCTAAAATTTCCAAAAATATGACGCAACCCTATTTCTGGAGAGAGATAACAAACAAAAAATCTTTATAACTCAATCGACAAACATTAAAAAGTAAACTTTCAAAGTTCACTATTTCGGAATCAACCTGGTTTTGAATTCTGACGTTGCTGTGCTTCGTGTGAATCCTCTACTTTTGAAATTTTTAGGATGTTGATCATATTCATCAAACGATCAATTTCTTCTTTTTGACGCTGAAAAATGCTTTTATCATATCCCATATTAAGCAAATTAACATCTGTTTAATTTAAGATTTTTATTCTTAAGCAAACACCCAAACGTAAATGGGATAAGAGAAAAACTACCTTGTCAAGAAGTTCGATAAACCGTTCATTTGTTTGTGCCACAACATGTCGAAACTCATCCAACATCATTTTTTGTACTGCCTGAAATTGCATCGAATGATTACTTTCTCTAAAAATTGCACTAAATTTCTTAAAATATTATGGCTTTAATCCTACTTTCTATACCCGAAATTTCTGGCTCTAAAAATGTACTTTCAATAAAATAACCATGTTTAAAAATAGTTTTCAGTAAAACTCGTGTATTATTACACAACATAATTACTAAAATTTTTATAGAAATCGGGAATAGTATATAAGTCAGATGGCACAAGTGATAGTTCCTGTTTAAAATCATCTTTAGTACTGCAAAGAAGTATCAAAATCTAAAGTAGAAAGTATTCCCATAGGAAACTTCTTTATTGCGTTTACCTCGACAGCATCCAGACGATGGAGAATGTCATTTTGGGCCTGCGACATATTTAAAATAGCTTGCACAACGATCGAATCATCATCATTTTCTACCTCATTAACACTTCTAGCAGTAATACCGTTACAATCTTTCATATTTGCAAGATTCAGAACAGATTTTTGCTATAAATGTAGTTGGCTTTTAATAAATCAATTTATAAAGAGAGCGCAAAAAGATATACGAAGTTGATAAATTTTCAATTTAAAAAAATCAAGAGCTGAATTACAACTTTTAACATTCAGTAGCTTTCAAAATCATGAAGTATGATTTACAGAAAAGAAAAATATCTGAGAAGAATGCATCTAATAAAAAATGATTCTTTCACCAATACAAAGTTAAAGAACTCGTCTAAAACAAATTTAATACGTATTCATTACTTTCTATTGTAACGTCACCAATACAATATCGCACAATGCTGAAACAATACCCAAAATTAAAACAGGATTTGAATCTACGATTAAAGTTCAGCTGTCAAACTACATCTTTAACAAAAAATGAAGTAAACCCAGAAAACGCCAAAAATGTAATAAGAGCCTAATAGCTGTAACCAGAATAACCTGAGATAAACAGAACTGACTTTCACATATAGCCAATTACTGCTGGGATTAATATGTCACCATCACTAATAATTGAAAAAGTGATTACTACCACTTGACTACCACAACTATGAAATACAATGAATGAACTACGTCCTAATTTCAAATTCCTAGTTTTTTTTGCAGCACTTCGCAAGTTCTAAATTCATTAAATTATCTTAATTCTTCAAGATGACAAATCTCAGAAATTCTGAAATAAATGCAAATACAAAAAAATCAAAAGTTTCCAAGCTTATAAAAGATATACTACTTCAAAATAAAACTAAAATTACCTCAGTACCACTGTTATGTCGTCAATTATTTAGTTGCATAATATTCTATTCCTCCGACAAAGTACACTATTTTATTGTCTCTGAATCCTTTTCTTATATTGCTCATTTACTGTTTAATGATAAATTACGCACATATGCAACTAAACCAACCAACACATAACCAACACCTAACAAACGCAACGCAACCTACGACCAGTCCATTCGTGATTCATCCATATCCCTGCACAACTGCGGTGCTAATGATTACGGTGCGTTATTCAATGATGCATCCCATCTTGACTGTAATTATTTTTTGTCACTGTGGATTGGTATACTTATCGTTGTTAAGATTAATAATTTCATCTTTATCACTATTGTTCAAATTATGTCTAATTTTTTTAATTATTAATTACTGATGTTATTAATTAATATATATTATAGACAATACTCTGAGACAAGATTAATTGAAGAAATGTGTTAGTATTTATCAGCATATTATTATACTTATTATCATACATTTACACTCATATTTAGTTTAAGGAATTAATATTATTAATTATGCACACTACAAGCATAGTATTACTAAATACATATGCATGTGTGTATGTATTTTAATAAGTATATGAGTAATAAAGTATGTTAGTACTAAAATACTAATTACTAATCAGTCACTGG